TCTCTTCACTTAAACTGTCTCATTTGTAAAATGGAAACTGTCACAGAGTCTTACTGCAATGGAATGAACAGTACCAGGAACTTAGAAGGAAGATATATTTCCACTTCTGCCACTGATGATCCATCTCACTTCTTCCAACCTCAGTTCACTCATCCCTAAAATAAAATCAGGCAAAAGAAGGTATAACTTTGAGGGATTTTAGAGATTAGAGCTATCTTAACTTTTAAAATGGGGTTCATATCCCTACCATAATAGGAATTTGTCATAGTGGCACTTTATGAAACTTTTATTATGAGAACAAAGTCATTTCATACTTTTCAAAACACATCTGCACTCTCAATCAAAAACCTCCACTTAGGTGGTTGAAAACCAGGTATCTAGACTGTCACAGTGATTGCAGTAGCCCTGTAATACGTTTTTGATCATATCATTCATTGCCTCCCATTCTGTTCTGTTCTTACTTCAAGTACACACTGGAGTCTTCTTCCTTTCTATCTGTCTGTCTGTCTGTCTGTCTACTTTTTGCTGTAGGTTACTTTTCAGATATAGTCTTACATTTCGGTTGAGATCAGCTATGGTTTTCAACCCTTCAACACACTGCCTCCCACACAGCCAAGATGGCAGGCACATACACCACATCAAGCCACTGTCTTTCTTCCCTTGCTTCTGGCTTCAGATTATGATTCTCTTATATGTGTCTCTGTCATAGCCAGAATTGCAAGCATGTCCCAACATATCTGCTTCATTTTATCTTCCAAGATGGCCTCTTTTCTCCTGTCCTGTCCATATAATATTAGTATAGTTTCTCAGTGTATCCTTCCCATGTTGTTTTAAATACAATAGCCCCTCTTTTCTGCTCAGGTTAAATTCCATACACTCTTAAAACCAGGGACAATACCAAAACCTATCCATGTTATATTTTTCCTGTACATGCATATATATGTGTAATGCCTTTCCATCTTAACTCAGCACTTATCACCTACTTTGGACATAACTTTTAAAGTTTGAGGTTTGACAGCAAAGCTAGTATGAATTTCTTTTTCTTACTTTGCAATTTTATAGAAGATTGATTCTTTCCATACATTTTACCAATCATCATATCAGGTTTCCTTTTTTTCTTTCCCTATTAGATCAAGAACTTTCTCCTTTTCAGCTTTCCACAGCTGCTCTTTGGCATAACAAATTTACTGTACCACTCCTCTTTCTCTTTCAGGCCATGTTAAATAAATTAAAGGTTATTTGA